GACAAAGGAACCCGGAAAAGCGTCCCGGATGTGCGCCTGAGCGGAAACGCCCCCGCCTCGCCCCGCCCCCGCGCCGGAGGGACCGGAAGGTGCTTTCTGCCCGGAGTGAGGCGCCACCCGGAAGCGAATGTGCCTCCGGGAAGGCAGAGGAGGCGACGCTCAGTCCTCCCAGCGGGGAAAGAGCGCCCGCTTGTCAAGGTGGGCCCTTTCCGGGGAGGTGGGCCCTCCCGGTGGGGCTGGGTTGCGCATCCCAGCATCCTTGGCTATGGGCTGCTGGGGTGGGGAGTCAGCACCACTGAGAGGGACGGAGCTCTCCCACACGCTGCCTGGGGCCTCTCCCCCCCGCCACATAGCGGCTCCCAGAATTCCCAGCCGTTGGCAGCTTCTCTAGGGATTCTGGGAGGCGTGGTCCAACACATCTGGAGGCAACTACTAGCAAAAGGAAGGGTCGCACTTGATATGACTTGGGGAGGTTTGGGGGCAAAAAAGCACCAAGCATTATAAAATACTAAAGGGCAGTAGTTTTGAAACTTGGCCACTTTAAGAGGTGCGAGCTTCAACTCCCAGAATTCCCCAGCCAATTCTGGGAGCTGAAGTCCACACCTCTTAAAGCAGCCATGGTTGAGAAGCACTGGACTAGCCTACGGGATTATTAGGGCAGGATCTCCAGCTTGCTTTAGCCAGACTGAGTTTTCAAAGCAGGCAGATGTTTAATTTAAACAGTCTTCAGGACCTCCGAACATGTAGAAAACCTTCAGTAAGGGTTTAGTAAAGCAAGGCAGAATCAGGGTTGCTGCACAGGGGTGCCATTTATAAATCTGCATAGAGTTCCAGGCAGTTGTATTTACTTAAGCAGGTCAACAACCCAGAATATGAAATACTTAACACGGATTATAAGCCCTGCTCTGTAAAAGAAGTTCCCATAAGGCAGATGGGAGAACCACGGCCGGGAGAATTATTTCTTCAGGGCCCTTGAATGAGATTGCGGCAGACATCTGAACCAAGGACTGGTCCATTCATAGCTCACTCTTAACCATGATCGTTCTCCAAAGAGATTATCTGCTTTTAACTCTTGACAGCTTGAATAAATCCAAAATCCTGTCCTTCCCGAATTTTGACCAAGTGTGGAGTAAATCGCAGACTCACAACTGTGGAAATAAACAGGTGGCAAATTCCAAACAGCTGGCACCAGTTCACCCAATTTTCTTTAAAAGTGTGTATTCTGCCACCCCGTGGCAAGTCTGAGAACTGTTTTGAACAGCTATTCTTTGTCAGCCCCAAGTTTGTACTTTTTACACATGCTTTTATTTTTCTCCCTTTTTATGTACACTTCTCATAGCATGCAGCTGAAACTGATCAGACCTGAGCTGATCATTTTGACAGTTCAGTGCGGGCATCACTAAGCCACAAGACATCAATTATGAGCTACCCTCCCTGGTAATTTAGGCTCCCTATTCTCTCTGCATTATTCATTTGCCTGGTCTTGTTTTTTACAATCAAAGTGGTTAGTTCAGCTCGTTGTGCAGAGATGGGCAGTCTACAGCCTTCTGTGTTGCAACCTTTCATCCCAGGCTTCACAGATCATGCACAAAAACAAATACACAGTTCTTGAAATGAATACACACACTAATACTTCATCTCACAAACTCCCATCTTCATTAGAGGGAGAACAGAAACCAATGAACCTCCTTTCCACCTCACAATGCGTGTTTTAGGTCACGCTCCCTCAGCCCGCGTGGCATCAGAATACAAAGGCTATTTTAAATCCTTGGTTTTTTATCAGGGTTGCAAGTCCAGACTCATCTGGGTTACAGCTCTCTAGTTTTAACAAGAACATCCTTTCTCTGCAGAATGCGATTCACAGCCAGAAGGGGCACAACAGACCCTTTCTAGTGGCGAAACAATCCACCTGCTTTCCCACCAGCAGAACCTAAATTCTCTCCATCCTGAACGCACTGATCCTTTACTCAGTGTGGGCTTTGCACATACCCCAAAGCCCCTGAGGATGCACCCACAATTGCTTGCCCTCCCTCTGAATCCCAAGGCGCTAAGGGAAGGAATGTCACGATTTCAGGCAGAAGAAGGGCTAGATTCTAAAGCTTTGGAACTCCAGTTGCCTAAAGACCTTCGGCATTATAGAAAGGTAGGATATCATAATAGAGCTGCTCCCCCAACATCCCCTCTGTCCTCAAAGTCCAGGGCTTGACCTGAGTAGAGATGAATGGGCCTGCCCCAGCCACTAATTATTTAGGAATCAGAATGCTGATCTTCGTGACACCAAGGAGCACTTTTTCCACCCCAACATTTAAGCTATGATAAATTAAGTTTTCAGGATACCCAGAGGGAGCCAGGTCAATCTAGTTCGGCACTAGCCACAATAGCTGGGAATTATAGGCACTGGATTCCAATGTATCTGAACAGCATCAGATTGTGGGAAGGCCGTTATCCAACAGCTAAACCAACTTTCTAAAGGTTTATGCAATTGAAGGTCAGCTGCTCCCAAATTCTGCTGAACTTCCTGAAGGCAACCACTTCCACCCTCTGGGAAATAAGGTGGGAGATTAGATGGATCCCTGGTATAACCCAGCAGGGCTCTGCTTTGCTCCTTATGACATGCTACTTTTCTAACTGCAAAGGATTACGTATATCCCCAAAACGAGTTTTTCAAACACGCATCCTTCCTTTGGCACAGAGTTCCACTGAATTATGAATCTAGTTTTTCAGGCACATTTTTACCTCTACCATCATGTTCAAACGTTTAAAAGTCTGCAAAAAGTTTTATTTTCCTTCTTTAAATACATTATGAATATATTCACCCTCCCAGCCGCATATACATGTGACTGTTAAGTCATATAAAAATACAGGGTCCACTCCATCTGTGAAGTTATACAGTTGCATGCACATAAATC